TGTCTTGAGGGACATTCACAGACACAGAGTAGCTCCTGTACACTGTTCTTGGCCACAGGAAGACAGGAATGCCCACTGCCTTTGACAAAGCTGCCAGGTACTGAGAGCCAGTTATGTTCTGGAAATTTCATGTCCTTGTTCTTATTGGCAGATCATGATGTGCCTGAAATGCTGGTGTTTTGGAGGCTCATTTCACAAATGATAGAACCACACTCAGAATGGAGACAGTCCCCTCAGGCATCTTAGCTACTTGGAGGAGGACTTGATGCCCTGTGTCCCTCTACCACATCAGACTGTGCATGATCTCTTTCCTTGGAGATCCTGTGCCCAGGATGGAGGTTGGGAGAACCATAACATTAGAACTTAAAGGACCATCCTTCCTGAGCATTGGCCTTGTACAGATGTGGCCTGGCAGGTGTGTCTTGGTCTCCAGGAGAGGCAGGGCAGGATATATGGAAGTCTTTATGGAAGACACCATGTCTAAGCTGAGCATTGAGCCTGTGGCTCTGGAGTCAGCTGAGAGGGTGATGGGTAGAAAAAGCAGGCGGAGAGTGTGTGCCTTCCATAAAGGAGACAGAACATGGGCTGAGGAGATGACTCAATTGATAAAACCTTACAAGCTCAAGAACATAAATTTGACCCCAAAAGCCAACAGGAGTGCATGCCTGTAATTAATTTATTTATTTATTATTTTGGGTTTTCTTTTTTGATGTTGTTTTTTTTTTTTTTTTTTTTTTTTTTTTTAAAGACAGGATTTCTCTGTAGCCTTGGCTTTCCTGGAACTCACTCTGTAGACCAGACTGGCCTCCAACTCACAGAGATCCACCTGTCTCTGCCTCCTGAGTGCTGGGATTACAGGCATGTGCCACTGTGCCTGGCTTGCCTGGTCTTAATGGAAACATTGTTAGAGGCAATTAACATGTACACCCACGGGGTAAAGTATCGTCCAGATGGATGAGCCCGCCTGTGTCTGGGGTTTTGGCCAGTGAGGCTGGTTGGTGGAACACTGTGGTGGCCGTACCATGCACAGGCTGGGAGCAGAGACTGCGTGCGTCACAGTAAGCTGTATTTTCCAGCTGTTGACTAATCCAAAGAGCAAAAAGCAAACACTTTGACCTTCCTCCACAGTCTCCTTTTCTCCCAGCGTATTTACCCAGTAATGGGATTCAAGGGGACATTTACATGAACTTTTGAAAACAAATATCCCAGTTCTGTCTTTTGTCCTGCTCAACCCCCACCTTTGGCCCAGGAGTCTGCTGTAAAACTAAAATGAAATATTTAAAAAGTCCATGTTTGATCTGCAGGACCAACTGGTTAATGCTTGAGCAAATGTCACCTTTGACAGCACATCCGTGAGGGAAGCTCATGGGTGTCTGCTCTTCACAGGTGGTAAGCTGTGCAGAACTGGCCTTTTGGCCCAGACTACGCACACAGTGGCCCAAGGCAGGCAATGAGAATACACATCTTGGTTCAAAACAAGTAGCAGGCAGCCAGGCTTGCTTGTCTGGTGGCAAGCCTGCTGAAAAGAGCCTCTGGACAAGGGGGCCCTGTGTTCTCAGCCGCCCCCATCTTCACACCTCTCCTCCCCTGCTAGGGTGCTGTCCTCCCACACTGCCCTGCAGCTCCAGGGCAGAAGTGGCCAGTATTCCCTGGACCTTTCCATTTCTTCTCCATGCAGTGAACACCAAGGGCGGTCAGCTACCTGCCCTCTGCTGTGGCAGGCATGTTGGCAGTTCAAGCTGGCTCCTGTTGGTTTCCAGTGTCTCACTGGAAAAAAGCATGGGCCATCGATCCAGATGAACAATCTTCAGAGAGCGCGCCCCTGCTCCAAAGCCAGTGTTCACCTCCCTTCCTAGCCTGAAGGGCACTCTGTTTTCTTACATCTTTCTAAATTGCCATGTGCTAGACTTGTAAATACCCTAAGTGTTGGGTCCTCATCTGGTAAACCGACCAAAGGAAATGGACGTTCTCCCCCAACTCTTGTAACTCTTGGCACCTTGTGCCTGCCCCTGAGAGAGACTCTTGAGTCTGGGGAGCCAATGTCTGCCTGGCCAGGTGCCCGAAGTGCCATGGCAGGAGCTGAGTGAGTGGTGGAGGAAGCTACCCCAGCTGAGGCAGGAGCCTCGCAGGTGTTCCGGGCTAGGGCTGGGCTCAGCCCAGAGTGCTCACTGTTTACAAGTTGGCAGGCTCCCAGGAGCTCCGCTGTCAGTTTTGTTCTGAAATGTCAAACATTTCCTTAGCTGGGGATGGATGGTTGAGACCCCCTGAGGCCGGAGCGCTGTTGGGGGATGGGAACCAACCTTAATTTCTGCCTTTGACACTTGATTCAGTATGGCTCAGGTTGTTCCAGCGCCATCTTGCAAACCTAGACCCACTTTCCATGTCAGAAGGCTGGGGGCTCTGTCTGTCTTTGTCAACCCCGCTGTGGTTATGTGGCAGCGCCTCATCTCTTTCTGCAGGTTTGTGAACGAGATTCACCAGGGACCCACTTCTGGCCACGGGGAGGTGAAGGTGCAGATGGAAGCTGGCCAAGAACTGGTTCTTGTTAAAGCCCAGGGTTCATGACTGTCGTGTGTGTTTAAATTTTTCCACCATAAAAATGGAGGGAGGGTGCAAAGAGAAGAAGATAAAGAAAAGAAATTGGTTCCTAGTTTTTCAGCCCCCAGAAGCCTGGACCTCTCTCCCCGATACGTTGTTTTGGGTGTCAGGACCCCTGGGTGAGCCCCCGTGGTCTAGGAAGGGGTTGCGAACACAGCTGAGAGCAGAGCCGTCTGGATTCCCATGCAGCCGTCCAGAGCCTCTGCTTCCGTGTGTAGAACAGAGTGACTCATTATGCAGGAGCAATCCGGGAAACACCCCCCCATACTGAGCCCCAAACCTGGTGACTAGGTTTGACCCCAAACTGGGCTGAGCTTTGGTGCATTTGAAAGGATCCACACTTGGGGGAGTCTCCAGAAGGGTGCCGGAGTTGTCATCTCACTGAGACCAGGTTGCTGTGATCAGGTGGCTCGGTCCAGTCTCCTCTGGCCAGAGCACCCCGAGGCTGCAGCTGGCCTTCGATTAGCCCACCTTCTCACCTACAAATGATGTCCTTGACCCACCCACCGCTGGGTTTACTTAAGCCTGCTGAAAGTGACCCCTCAAAGGATTGGTGTCTACCTGCAGGCTGTTAAAATAGAAATGCGTATGTGTCTCTGCTGTGAAGTTCCCCTTTCATTGTTGGATAAGCCCCTACTTTAGCACATGCTATCGACTTACTGTCTAAGGTGTCAAGAGGGAAGTGCGCTTCCCTTCACCCTGTGCACGTGCTGAGGTGCTGTGCGTGCGTTCGTGTGTATGTGTGTGTGTGTGTCCGTGTGTGTGTCCGTGTGTGTGTCCATGTGTCCCATCATGCTGCTACTGAGGTGCCCTGTATCTAACTCAGTTTCTCTGCTTCAGCACCTTTAAAGGCTTTATATTGGTTCTCATGGGCCCTGCCCCTTGTGCTGAAACTTCCTGTCCTTTTGAACCCAAGAACCTGTCTCCACGTCCCTGTGATACTTGTTGGTTGGGATGGACTACTTTTGAATTTCCCGTTTGACACATTTCCTCCCGTTCCTTCCTCTCTAGTCACTATTCCTGTGTCTGACTGTTTCTTCTTGCCTCTCCAAATATTCAGTGTGCTTCTTCTTGGTTACATTTGTCTGCCGCCTCTGTGTGCCAGCTTTGCATTAGATCCTGAGATAAGGTGATGGCCTGGAAGGCACAGTCTCTTCCGTGGACCTTCCAGGAAAGAAGACAAATGAGAGCTAGCACCTCAGAAGTGATGTTTGCTGAGTCTTCTTTGGAAATGTGGAGCTTTGGAAAGCACCAATGACTCCGGGAGATCTCTAGGAGTTGACTGCAGAGAGAACTCCCAGGCAGAAGGTTCAGTACTGTTATTGTGGAGGTGTGGCATGTTGGAGAAGTGAAGATGGTCAGATGGCAAGAGCTCAGAGGGGCTGCAGGACAGTGGAGTGGAATGATGCATGGCTTTCTAGGCTACCGCAGTCTGGACCTCAGCTGGAATCAGTGGAGAGCCTTGAGCATAGAAGCAGCACGATCAAATTCCCATTCCAAAAAGACAGCCCCACCTGCTTTGTGGGGACCTGGCTGAGTCGGGAGCAAGGCGGGTTTAGTCTGGTTTTGCAGTACTCTGTGTCAGCTGGGGGCTCAAGGCCTCTTCCTGTCACACTGTATTAACTAAAACTCCATGGATGTTTTTGCCTTGGGAATTGGCTCTCTTTCTGTGTCCCTTCCTTCCTATTGCTTACTTCACCATTTTCAAATCACCATGAAAATTCAAGACTGTGGCATCTCTACCACTGGCCAACCCAGCCTCTAGAGAAGGCTCTTTCTTTTCACATTTTGGATGACTATTTAAAGAGGTCCAGGTGGCGTGGGGGTGTGGTTCAGTCGGTAGAACGTTTGCCCCATTTATACAGGACCCTGGATTACAGTCTCCAGCACCACACAGACCAGGTGACACACTCTGTAATGCCAACACTTGGAAGATGGAGGCACAAAGATCAAAAATTCAAAGTTATCCTTGGCGACACCGTGAGTTCAAGGTCAGCTTGAGACACACGAGATCCTGTCTCAAAAAATAAGCTATCCACAAAAACAGACAGAAGCGACCTATTAATCTTAGGCGTTTGCTTCATGCTGTTTCAGCAATGTTAAATCATGTAACAAAGATGGCTGCCATCTACAGCTTCTGTGCTTGCCACCTAGAAAAGCTGGAATAGCAGCTTGGCGTGCACAGGAGAACCAAATGCTGAGGCCTGGCCCTGGCCCCTGCAGGATTCTGTCTTGCCACCCGGGAGTATCAGCACAGCTCTCAACGTGGCAATGGCCTGCTGTGTCCACTGGCCTGAAGAGCCACAGCTACGCCCACTTCCCTCTCCTGGTGCTGCTAGAGTGTGATGCTTTTTTTTCTGGTGCAGCACGTTAAAAGAGGCCTGTCTGCTTCTCTTTTGCAGGGATGATAATGGTGATTTTATTGCTGCTCGTGGCTATCGTGGTCGTTGCCGTGTATCCAACCAACTGATAGCAATAAAGGGACCACCCGCTGTGACACCTGCCAATGAAGAATGAAAGCCCGGCCCCCTTTTGGTATACAACACCTGCTCTCAATAAATTTTCCACCGCTCCAGGCTCTTGGTGTGTGTCACTTTTGTAGAGAAGAGAGCTGAGAAGCTCTGGAGACCTTTCTAGAGCACTGGCCAGTTGTGGCCCTTCTCATCTTTCAGAGATTTTTGTTGCTGGTCAGGGGCCCCCGGCCGTCGCCCTCTGTGCTGGGCATCCTGAGGGATATAATGTGAATATGCAGTGGATCTCCTTGGTGGCTGGTCACACTGGGGAAGTCATGTGCCCGTGTGGAAATAAGGGGGTGATCATGTGTATGGGTGTCCAGATAGCAGGGCACGAGTGAGGCAAGAGCCACACAGAAGGTGTAGCCATGAGGATTTGTGTCAAGTATGTAACAGGCATTCTGTCAGCCCACCATGTTTAATTGCCCACAAAGCTCAGACTCTTCAAGGTGCTAGCTATATTGCCCTGGACCATTTTCATATCTTAACACACACCCTTTACCATTTTTGCAGCGATAATAAACTCTTCCTTCAAGGTTGACGCCTTCCTAAAACAACTCCAGGTGTGGCGGCCCACGCCTTTAATTCCAGCACTCAGGAGTCAGAGGCAGGTGGATCTCTCGGACTTCATAGGGAGAGACTGTCTCAAAAACTGGAAGACAAGTTCGACACCTTTCTAAGAAGCCAAAAGCCGCAGAGATTGAGATCGGAAGCAGTCAGATGAAAGCGTGATTCAAAGGCAGCCTCTCCACCGGCTCTGACAGCCATGTGTGTCTAGAGTGAGTGTGTGTGTGTCAGAAAGAGTGAACCAAGTGTGAAGCGGACCACGGGTGGCCGAGTTCTGAATCAGAAGGGCACAGGGGATCAGGCAGCATGCCCTATCTCCTCTCCATCAGAAAGCAGGATGGGCAGTTAGCATTGCTTTATCATGGTAGGAGGAGGAAGAGTCATGGCAGTGTTTCAGTGAGCTGGAGTCAGGCCTGTGGTGGGCCCTGTGACTTTCCTTAAGAGACCATAACCCAAAGTCTTCTCTGGACAAAGTCAGGTACCAGGAAGAAAGCTCTAGGGTCACCTAGACGGGTGCCCTTTCCTTGAGACCAAGGATTCCAGCTGTTCTAGAAGCCTGGGGTCCAGAAGTTGAGGCACCTGCTTGACTTGACTCCAGAATGCAGGCAGGACAGGCACTGGGGTCTCGGAGGCAGAGGAAAGGCTCCCTGGGAGCCAAGTCCAGCAGTAAATGTGCATCTCAAGACCCCATCGCTTCAGCTCCCAGCTCTGGCCCTGTCTATCACCAGGGAACAGGAAGTTATAGCAGACACAAGTAAGGAACGTGCCACAAACAGCCCCTCGGACTGCCACACGGCTCTGTGCTCACGGGCAGGTTCCTTTTCTGTGCCAGTGGCCTCATCTAGACAAAGGTGGCCCTCCCACCCCACCCTGCACCACAGGGCTGCTGCGAGGACTGGGTGAGGCACTCGGGCACAGCTTGGCACAGCTTGGCACAGCTTGGCCTAGCTGAGGAAAGGACTCTTCTGGTAGTGCAAGTCTAAGCCTGGGTGTCCAGCGGCTCAGGATCCTAGCTCTCGCTTTCCACTATGCATGAACTGGAAGAGTAAGCCAGGCGGGGGCTAGAGTTTTCTGCTGACCATTTGGCCAAAGATGCCCGAGTTCCTGAAGATGCAAAGGCCCTAGGAGTCGACTTAGCAGGACAACCGGGGTCATGGGATGCCAGGAGGTGGCAAATGGCTGAGAGGGTGTGAAGCAGCCTGTGAGGAACAAACTGAAGGGAAAGAAGAGCGAGCTCGTGTCAGGGCATGTGACTGGGAAGAGCGGAGCCTTGCTGGACCTCCGGCCAAGGCTTTAAGATGCGGCGTGCCCCGGGACCCATTCGTCGGGGCAGGGCGGTTGCTAATGGATCATCCGATGGGAGACCAAGAATCTGCACAGCTCCATCACCCAGCCTTGTGGGAAACCCCAAATCTCTGCAGCGTCTCCTCGGAACCCCCCACTTCGGGGCTCAGAAGAGGCAGCATTGATAGTCTGTTTAACTTTCTCACCTCCTCTTGACTTGCTCAGCACGAAGCCCCAGCAACTCGTGGGCCGCTTTGAACCGGAGCCATGGAGGCCTGGCTCAGTTGCACTGAAAGCCCTTTTCAGGAAGACACTGGCCCATGTCTGCACACAGTAGCTTCTGTTCTTCTGGCTGAATGGGCTGTAGGCCCAGTCGGGGCATTGCTAGCTGGGTGACCCTGGACAAGTTCCTTCACTTTTGTGCAGCCACGGGCAGGGCGGAGTAGAGGGAAAGCTGCTGGTAAGGTTACAGTGCGAGGACCCGAGGTCCAGCCATGGGCACTGCGGTCAGGCAAGACCCCTCCCCTGCCAGGCTTCCTCAAGCACGGCTTCTCTTGCTCCATCAGACCAGAAGCAGCCAGACAACAGGGTGTGCCAGACAGCCTGCCACCTCAAAACCTAGGTACTGTGGCCCCTGTGGAGAGGCATTTGCCAGCACAGTTTGCGAGACCTAGTTTCGCAGCTTAAACAGGTCAGGCCTGCATGCCTGGGGCACTCTGGAGCTGCTAAGTCTTGCAGTGCTCACAGAATACAGAGTGGCAGAAAAGCCAGGGCACCCCTCTCCTTTCTCGGGGGCTTTGTCAATGGAAGTATTAAAATAACAACATATGAATTGTTTAACTTAACTGATTATTAATTATATGCATCCTAAGTCTGGATACCATATAAAGAAATCCAGATTTTGGGTACAGCTGGTACTTCTGTTCCATTTAAACTTTATGATTATGAATTATACTGAACCTTAGCAGTCATTAGCCCCAAAGACAACCTGCTTAGTGGATCTGCAGTGCCTGGACACAGCCTCCACCAGGCCTTCACAGACCTGACACAGAAACTTCTGCACCCTTTTAATCTGCTGCTGCTGCCTGCCAGCCTTCGGGGGCTGTTCACCAATGCCTTGAGTTTGGATCTTTGGTGCTTCCCTATCCCAGGGTTACTGCAGAATTCCCAACTGACCCTCGGCTTCAAGGGCTGTTCATCCTGACTGGTCAGACCTGCCGGCAGACAGTCGAACAGCTGTTTGCCCGACTCCCTCAGGTAGTGAATGACAGCAGCAGCTGTTGGATGGACCCTGCTGAATGTAAGTGGGTCTCTTCCCACCTCCTTAAAACATTAAGACCAAACTCTTGTCTATCCTCTTACTGTACCATGGGATTTCACACACTTCCTGCCAACTATGTGCTAACAACTAAAGGCCCCGACCTCCTTCCAGAATGCCTTGCTGTCCCGCCAAGCCTCCAGGCTGATAAAGCGGTGGGTTAAGCCATACTCATCCGGCATTTCTCACTGGCTGCCATCCTTCCACTCTCACTTTTCTTGGCAAACTTTTTTCCTATATGTATTTAGTCTGAGACCTCAGGGTGTGACTACCCTGGGCGGGCATCCTCATTCAAGGCCCTGTCCCTGGAAGATGCAGAGATGGAATGGGTGAGCCTCATCAACGCATGAGCCCTCCCTGGTAGGCCTCTGGTCTACTGAAGCAGCCCCCAGGGTCTGATGAGGTCGGCTCGGCTTCCTTGGGGCTTCCTTCCACCTTCCTCCAACTTTCCCCCAATCCGGGGCCAGTTTAGCAGAGACCCCGCTTGTGTTCTGTTTTCTTGGCACTGGACAGCTCTCAACACCTTGTCTCCCGAGCCAGGTGGAAGGCCCTCGGAGGCAAGTGAGCTGTTCACTCGTTCTTGTGCCTCTCATCATCAGTGTTTCCTGCCAGCACAGAGCCCAGCTGTGAGGGGGTCAGAACACACTCAGACACAGACAGCTTTGTGGAGAGAAAGAAGCTATATCGTGAAAAGTCCTTGAGAGCTGAACTCTTGGCTTGAAATGACCAGAGATGAGAGTTGTACTGCCAAGTGGTCATAGAACTCTTTAGCCCCAGCTGGCCTTGGAAGCCTGACACTGCAGACAAGGCTTGCTCTTTCCTCGGGCTGGCCAGCCAACCAGGAACTGCTTTCTGTCCCAAACTGCCCACCACTGGACATTGAGTTTCAAAAAGGACCCATTTCTGAGATGGACTGGGACACCAGAGTCCATGTGCTACCTGCCTGCCCTGACTTGGAGCCCTGCTCTGCAGCTTGCTCAGTGAGGTTGGCCTAACGGTGTCATCCTCAAGCTGATTATCTGCTCTGCTACAGGAGAAGGCTTTGATGCCTTCAAAGCAAGGGTACCCAAAAATCTACATTTCTGAGGGGTTTGACCAGACCAGCAGGTGAGTCTTGTCTTCAGAACTGCTGGGTACAGAAAAGAGTCAGGTCCAAGGGCCATGGCAACACATCCTTCAAGGGGACTGACTAGCTTGGTCAGTCAAGAAATCGTAACCATTTAAGTTAAAGCTAAGTTTAAACACAGTCTCTCCAACACCACTGAGCTCAGCTCCTGGTGGCTGTGTGGTGCTGGCACAGGCCCAGTCCCTGCCTCAGTAATGGGCTGGGGATGGAGAGGCTCTTTTGCATGATCTCTTGAGTTTTCATCAGCCTTCTGGATTGCCTCATCTCTGCTTCATCTTGAATAGACGAAAGAGGTAATTCTAAAAGTCCAAAAGGCCTTGCAGGCTCTGAATCCAGTGGTGAGGACAGGGAAGGTGGGGTGGAGGGGTGAGGAGCCTCCTTTTCCCTTTTCCCCTGTCTGGGAGCTCAGGGAATGGGAAGGATCTACCCAGTGGTGTCTTTGGAATTGCAATAAAGACTGTCCCAGCTGAGTGCCTGTTAGAGCCAGCAAGCCCCTAGGACTTTCTAAGCAAGGCCACACTTTTCCTGCCTTTTTTGGGTAGTTAGGGCTCTTTGTTTAAAACATGTACAAGATGCTGTCTTGCTGGAGTGTCCCAGGGCCCAACACCATATTCCTTAAGTTGCTGCTTGTCTCCACCCTTTACCTCCCCATATGCCGCCACCAAGAAAGACGGGGACATGTAACAGTATACAAGAGTTTATTTAATGATATCTGAATTTAGTTCTATCATGTAGGGCCCACGTTACAAGTTCATCTGGGTCCATTCCAACTCTAACAACAAAAAACCCTTAAAAAAAAAAGAAAATCCACAACTTTCTCCATGTCATTAAATATATTCATATATAATAACCATAATATATTAGTATGCATTGGAAAGGAACACTGACCCAAACAATATGTCATGGTCACAACTAAACATTTACAGTTCTGAGTGAGCAGAATTGGTAACACAGGAGGGAGGGTGTGTCCAGAGCAGGGAAAGGGGAAGGATGTCCACTGACACAGGAGGTGAGCTGGCTTAGTTTTTGGCAGGGGCAAGACCCCACAAAGACAACTTTGATACCCCTGGGGTATGGCATGGCTCGGGTCCACAGGAATGTCTGTGTGAACCACAGCCCATTAGTGAGCTTAATCTGCCCACTCTCTAGGCTTCCTGGGTGGAGTCCTTGAAGCATGGAGACCCTAGGGGAACCATTTCCCCAAGGGTCTCTTAATTTCAGTCTTGTTCCAGCTTGGGGCAATTCTTAGATAGCCTGTCCTCATCGCCTGTATGGAACTACTGAGGCCGAGTTCTAGAAAGGCCCTCAGGCCACTCCAGCCTCCCTGGGCTTTGATCCTCCCTCTCATCTGAAGGAGCCTGATGGTCCTGCCTCCCACCCTGCTTTCCAGGACAGAAGCTCAGGCCAGAGGCCACAGCTCACAGGTATACCGGGGAGCATGCCATTTCCTTTACCCCACACCATTGTGCCGCTGTCTATCAGCAAAGGAGGCATTCCAATGGCAGGGACACCAGGCTCCCCAGCTGCTAAGCAAAAGGATGGCTGGGGAGCCCTGACTGGTGAGTGAGTAACCTGGAATGGTTTTCTTCAAAGACCTACAGACCACAACTCTGTTAATACACTCTCAAACTCAAAACCTACTTCCATTCTGCATCCCTCCCTAACTGTACAAATAGGATGTCTCCTTTTCCCCTTTCTGCCCCCCCCCCAGGGTGGGGCCGGGGTGGGCAGGAGACAGCTGCTTCCTCAAGGCTTGGCCCTCAGGCAGAGGAGAGCTGGGCTGGATTTGGGCTAGGTCCAGAACAGAGGTGACAAACCCTGCTATCTCAGCAATGACCTCCTCCACAACTCAGCTCATCTGGCCATTCAATGTAATTCCCAATGGCCAGGCCATGGGGACAGGGCAGGAGGCCCTGGTAGATTTCCAGCAAGATGTCTTATTGATTAGCAGGGGGCCCCTAGTTAAGGGGCTTCGGTGGCCACCAGGTGAGACTGGAACCCAGGGCTCATGGTCGAAGCTGGCCAGGGCAGACGCCATGCAGTGTGCTGGTGTTTGCCACGGATGGCCCCCAACAAGCCACACTGGTTGTCTGGGCCTGGATAGTGGCCCTTGCCCATCAGTCTCAGGCTTGACCAGGGAAGCCACACAAGCCTTCCCAGGGCCTGTCTGTGTGCTGTCAGTCTCTCTCAAGTCCTCCGGCTTGCCTTCCCACACTTGGAACAGCCAAGCCACCTTGCTAGGCTCAGGTGGCTAACACCTGTCTTCCTGGACCCTGAGGCTTTGCTCTGGGGAGTCTATTCCTGTGCCCCACAGTGTCTGTCCCAGACCCTACTCCAGGCTCATATTTTCAAGGTTCTCTAGAGACAAGCTGCCTGGTCTCAGTGGTAAGCCCCGCCCACCTGCTGTAGGGGTGCCAAGTGGGCTAACAGCTGGTGTGCAACTATGGTAAGGCCAGGGTTGTAGTGCTGGTGCTGGGGTGACCTTGGACATGTGGGCACGTTACTGGTGAAAATGAGGACAAGAACGAATTCCTGTCTCATGGGCTTGTGATGAAGACTGGCCAGGGGCATACAGGTAAAGTGCCTGGCACCAAGCGGGTGCTCAGTAATTGGCAGTGGCAACGTGGCAGCGGCGGGAGAAACAGAGGGAGTCGTGTCACTAAGGAGCTGGGCTTCATTCCTGGTGTGGCAGCCAAATGGGCAGGGGAAATGAAACCAATTTCCTGACTGAGAGAGGGAAGGCAGGCCTCATCCAGTGCGGGGCGTGAGGCAGGGAAGGCAAAAGGGGGCCTGGGAAGCAGCCGGAAGGGAAGCATGGAGCTGCCTGCATGAGGATGTTAAGCCTCTGAGAGAAGAGAGGGCTAGGCACACAGGAAGGCCTTGGGGCCCTCCACAAAGAACGAGGGGGGGGGGCTGGACACGAGTGCCCAGGCTAGACCAAGGCAGCTGCAAGCCACAGTGGGCTTCTGAACCTAGGAGCCTGTTCCTTCCCTTGGGGGCAGCAACAGTAAAACACTCACAGCTTCCTTGGACCCTAGCAACCTGACCACTCCTGGCCTGGCCTGCCTACAGCTTGGACACCAGGCACCTTGCTGAGCAGTAGCCCCGCCCTCTCAAGCAAGCCCCTTCCCCCAAGCGGCCTCTACAGCCGCTGGCATTCCAGGCCTGACCAGGCCCTTTCCAGCTGTTGACATTGCTGTGAGGCCTTATGGGAGCTGATGTCATTACACAAATAGTGTCACTGCCCTACACCCCGCCAACACCCCCTCCCCCTCCTCTGGAAAATGTCATAAAAGGGGCTGTTTCCAAGTTTCCAAAAAGGAAACGCGCTGGGAGGTTTTGGTTTGCAGTGCCTCCTCCCACAGGCAGCTCCAGCGGAGGCAGTGACCACCCGGCTAGGGCTTCAGGGTCCTCGGGCCCTAGGCCCTCTGGTGGGCCAGGGGCCTGGGCCAACCCCCACTGGGGTAGGGCAGGCCCCAGGAGGAGCCTCCTGGCCTACAGTTGGTGAACTCCACCCAGGAGACCAGCCCAGCAGGTGGCAGTGGAGACCCAAAGCTGGCTGATGCCAGTGCCATTTGGCCCTTTGACATGGGGACCTGTTGTCAGTGTCTGGAGTCCTGTGGGAATTCCTAGACAGCGGGTGATGGAGAAAGGAAGGGGCATTGCTAGTGTCTGGTGGTGGACTGGTTGTTCCTGCCCAAGCTGCAGGCCCGAAAATTCACAGTTCTTCTCAAAACACAGCGGCTATGGTCCACTGTGCCGTTCTGTGCCCTCCTCGCGGGGACCCCCAACCCCTCCACGGCGACCCCCACCTTGCCCTAGGGAAGCGCATCTCTGTTCTGGAAGGAGCGCCGCCGTGAGGTAGCTATGTCTTGTCCTCATTTCTCCAGGGCCTGGCCTGTCAACAGGGTACTTTCTGCCATGCGCACAAGAGCGCAGCCAGGGGTGTGAGGGTGGGGCTGGGGCGGAGCCCCTGGGGGCCCCGCCCCACTCAGACTTCGCCCCGCCCCCACCCTCTGGGGAAAACCCTGGCGGGCCAAGTCCAAGGCTAGCCGCCCTCCTGTAGCCCGCGCCACCTCCGCGCTAGGCCTTCTTGCACTTGCCCTTCTTCTCCCGCTGCTGGAACTTGCGCAGCCGCCGTGCCCATGTGTCCCGCCACTGAATCACCAGGCTGCTCTTGTCCGCCACGATGCCACTCTGGTCAGGCGAGTCCTCGGCATTGCCCAGCAGCAGGTACTTCTTGAGGGGCTTGATCTTGGGGCACTTGCAGGCGATGTCTCGAGAGCGGATCCACAAGCTCTGGTCACCACGGCGAATGCGACTTGTGCCCTGCTTGTACACGGAGATGATGTTCACCGTGAACTTCCACCAGTCCCCTGCTCTGTCTGCCTTCAGGATGTGGATCTGGACGGCTGCAAAATAAAGCAAGCGGGGGTGTGGGCCATGGCTGGGAAGAGCAGCAGGCGCCCGGTCCTGGGATGGGATGGGCCCCACCTACAAGAACCTGGAGAAAGGGGAGGGGCCTGGGCGGTGACTGCGAACTCCCCATGGGCAGTGGGTGAGCAGTAGAGGGCGGATCCCAGTACCCCACCTGCTAACCCTGCGCCAAGGCCCCCATTCCAGGAAGTGTTGCTCCTGTTTTCGCTGACAGGGCCACCTAACACTGCCTCTTGAGAGATGCTGAGGTCCACAAAGGAGGCTTCAGGGAATTAAGCATGCCCCTAGCTCTCTGGATAAGGGGCAGAGCGGTGACCCCTCACATTGCTATACCTGCAAAGGCTCCAATCACTTCACCCAAGCCTTACGGTGCACCCCCCCAGCACCCCACCCCCGTCAGCACCCCTCTGACGCAACTGAAACAGCCCACCATGGCATCTCAGTACCAGTACGGAAAGAGCCTGCCAGAGTGGCCACGTGACCAGAGTCTTCAATCCCACCAGGCTGCTCATCTCCCTTGGAGTCTCTCAGGTTCAGCCCCTCCCCCTCCCCCACCAGCTTCTCACACCAGAGAGTGTGCCAGGCTCCCCTGGAGAGCTTCTGCAGACAGTGCCGGCCCCACCCCTGGGCTTCTGACTCAGCCCAACAGGGTAAAGCCCAGAGCCCCGTGTCACGTGTTCTGCCTCGGAGTGCCGATGCTACTGATCCATAGGGCGATGCAGACAAGGATGTGAGAAGATGCTCCTACTTCAGGACAGTACCAGGCACTGTAAAGTAGGAGGGGACGCTTATGAGGGGAGGCTGGCAGGCGGCTCAGTTGGGGAAGTATTTGCCAGACAAACATTTCGGACCTAAGTTCAGGACCCACAGGCAAAGCAGGGTGTTATACCTACAACCCCAGTGGCCTGGCATGTTCCAGGTGCAGCGAGAGACTGTCTCAAAACAAGGTGGAGAACAACAGGAAGGAAGCCAAACTCAACTTCTGACCTACATACACACGCGCACACAAGTGTGGTACACATACACATGTATGTATACACACACACACACACACACACACACACACACACGAAGGAACTTTGTTCAAGTAAGGTGTGCAACACCAGGTCCCATTCAAGAACTGCCCTGGAGCAGGACGCTTTGGGAACCTGTAAGTGAGGAGTAGTGTGTATGCTTTGGCTTCCCAAACATTGCTGGCTCCAGAGCCCTTAGGTTGGTCCATCTTAGGTGACTCCCCATCAAGGTCTCTGGGAGGCCTTCCTGCTCCCTTCCTGTACCTGCACTGGCTGGCCAAGGTACTGGGGGGGGAGGGAGCAGACAGCGGGGTGCAGCGGGACAGCGGATACTCCAACCTGCCCTCAGGGGTGAGGGAAGTGGTGGATTTTCCCATATTTTCATTTCAGCTGTTCCTGGGCATCCTGAACTTTGCACTTCAGTCTGAGGGCTCCAAAGAATGGCTGCCATGGCAACCGTTTCCATGTTTTTGTCACCAAGGGACTCAACACTCAGTGTGAACCCTGAGGGTGGGGGTAGGGAAAGCCTCCAGCCTAGAGAAGTGACTCTGCAGACAGAGGTCACCGTGGCAACTAAGTGCCTCTCAGCTAAGTGACAGGAGCTACCGCCGGAGCCCTGGCTTCCTTTCCTGGGGACTGAGCTGAATACAGAATGAGCCCCTCGGGACACAACAGCTTCCCTGTGTGGCGACCCTTGGCCAGCCAGTGTTGCCCAACCAAGCATGGGTTGGAGGTGTGGAGGCCCCTGTGGCTAGGCCCTTGAAGATGTAGTCTAATCCCAGACTCGGAGCACTGATGCCCCAAGCCCTCTGCTGGAGCCCTAACAGCCCTGTACTTCAGAGAAGACCTGAATATAGGGACAGGGCCTTTCCAGATGAGGTCATGGGTGCGGGCCCCATTTCAGCATGGAGGGGTCCTGGGCCTCAGCCTGATGGACTGGCTTGAGGGGCTCTTAGCCTCACAGAAAAGAGCCCAGCATAAGCGCTGGCTGGACAAGGTCTAGCCTTGGACTGGGCCTTCTCAAGTCTCCCGGGATCTCTGCAACAGCATGGCTCTAAAGATGAGTGTCTTTGGCAACCCCCAGACCTCTCCACTTGCTAGAAACAACAGGCCTCAAAAGTACCTGCTTCACAGGAGCCCCAAAGGTCGCCACTGGACACTGCTATGTTCGAGAATGAACAGGTTGAAGAAAATGATGTTTCCTGTCCCCATCAGATCTAGCTACTTCTGTGTTGGAGAACCTTCCTAGTTTCAGGCTGAGACAGCACAGTCCCGGGGCAGAGGACGGTGGCAGCAGGATTCGTGTGGTTATGCTGGAAAAGAGAATCCACATTTCTGCTGTCCTTGGCAACGCCTCCGCATATTACAAAGGCCACCAAGTATGAGCTGCACTCTCTGAGCATGGCCAATCCCCGCAGGGCGCACACTGCTGGAAAGATTCAAGATACACATTGCAGGAGTGACCTCAGATAGATCCGCCCCGTGCGCTTAGGGAGTGCGTGAGCTCTCTGGCAGCCACGTGGCTCACACCAGGGCTGCTGCCTCCAATCAGGATGACCGTCTCCAGACACCTGGATGTGTGTATGTGACGCCACTCAGCCAGGTGACAGAGCACAGCTCGGCAGCATCTCTACCAGACTTGGGGACACACAGGCCTCTCACATCCTGCTCTGGTCCTCATACTGGCGTCCCTTCCAGATGCCCAGACGACAGTATTAGGAGTTGGGTGTCCTCAAAAAGTGAACTTAGCAGCATGCGGGCCCCATCCCCATGGGCATACCAGCAACCCTCTAAGAGGCGTAAGTGAACCCTTGCCCCTCCTATCACATGATGCTGCAATAAGGTGGCATTTCAGAAGCAGAGAAGAGCCCTCGCCAGACACCGGCTCTGCTGGTACCTTGGTCTTAGATGTTTTAGCCCCAGACCACAATCCACAGGTTTCTGTACAGCCAACTGCACGCTTCTAGAGAGTGCAAAAGGCCCCCACCCTGCCTGAATGCTAACCCCCAAGTCTTAGGCTAATGTCCTGGCGTTATCCTCTACAATGGGGTTCAGAACAGAGGGAGACGAGATGATTCACAGCAAGGTGACCATGGCACGGGGAGCATGCTGGGAGCCCTTAAATTACAGGCTGCTGGTGGAATGGAGTATTTCAGCCATGAGCCAGAGCAGGCCAGCGCTGGAGCAGAGACAGGAGGGCCCACGAGGCAGACCCTGGCTAGGACTGCAGGCCCCGCTGTATAAAGGGACTCCACACCACAGCCCACCTCCCTGAACTCCTGCTCACTGGCAACAGCTGAGGTGAGCTAGTGTGCGTGTTAACCCAGTCTCTGTGCCTTCAAAGTGCAGGCAAAGTGGGGGTTGGGGGAAGCCCCCCAGGCTGTCTGCAAACCCAGCCGAGCTCCTTGGGAGGAACTAGCTATGGGATGGAGCAGATCCTTTGAAGAAAATCAGGGGGTTCAGGGAGCTTGAAACTTGGACAGGAAGCGAAGCTCTCTTCTACAAGACACCCAGAACTCAGCACCGTGTAGCTGGGTGGGCCTTGGCCAGCCCCTCTCTGCAATTTTCTGGTTCACAGAAAGGACTTTCACACTAAGCTTGCTTCTCAGCTACCAGGGCAGGGTAAGCCACAGTGCCCACCATCCCTTACCTGAATTCTAGCCTGTATCTCCAGCTAGCAAGGGCACCTGTTCACTCAGGCCATTGGCAGAGCCCAGCTGTGACTCTAGGGAGGCGGAAAGGACTCTGAGGGCCTGTGCTGCTCCTGGTGTAGGGCCCGGGTAGAAGGCCAATGGTGGAGGAGGGCCTGAGGCAGGCCAAGGGCTCGGGACACCTTGGAGCCATGTCTCTCTTGGGCACGAAGGACAGAATAACCTGCTGCCTACACGTATCCCTAGCTGCGCTCCAGGCTTGTCTTACCATGGAAGTGAGGGAGCAGCCATCCTTCCCAATGGCCTCAACCTCCTCAAGTTGGGCACCAGGGAAACTCCTAGGCCATTAAAAGCAACATGAATCACGAGGAGCCCCTGGCCTTCCTCCTGTGCTTGCGGCCGCCACAGGGAAACTTGCTGTCCTCTGCCTAGAAGCAGTTCACTCAAAACCCACTTCCCTCCCTGCCCTGCTCCAGCTCTGGCCCAGGGGCTATCAGTCCTACCCAAGGAGCTCCAGGGGTTCTGAGAACCTGACAGTGGCAGGAGGAGGGAATAGGAGCAGACAGCCCTGCAAGGAGGTTTAACAGACCTGCCCCTGAGGTCAAAGGTCTCTATCTAGGCTGGGCTCTAGGAAAACTGCCTGACCTGTGAAGATAGAGCATATGCCTCTGCCCATGCTGGGCCAGCCATGGGAGAGCAGAGACCAGGAAGGCAACAATTGTTCCCTCTGGCCACTCCCCTCTCTCCAGCACTTCTGTGGGGGAACCTTCTTGCCTTCTGGAGTGTTCCAGGATTTATAGATTTCTGGGAGTGAGGCCTAGGGGCCACCCACAGCTGCCCCTCCTCAGGGCTGCCCCTTGCTTCCCCTCACCTCCCTACCCACCTTACTTTCCTGTTGGGCCAGTCCAGATAAGGGAGGGTTGTCACCCAGCAGCCTCAGAGACAGCAGCCATGAGGGATGGAGGGAGGACACCAATCCCACAGAAACCATTACAATCAAAAGCCTGTAAATTTCCAGGTGGAAAGAGCATGTCATGAGCTTCAGCTGCTTCCATGAAAGGCAGCCTTGACCACGCACTCCCAGGCCAGGCTGAAGCCCTGCTCCCCAGGGCTTCTACATGGAGTGTGGAGCCTGTGGAGAATGCAGACTGGACCAGACACATAGTCTCACTGCTCATCTGTAAGGTGGGATCTCCCCATGACCAGACCCAGCAGCCAGTCACACGACTGTCGCCTCCTGCCACTCCACTCTTGAGAGGGGAGGGACCATCTTCTGGAGTTAAGGGCGTCAGGGAACCATCTTGGAGGAAG